AAACACACTCAGCACCCTTATCTTTGACAAAGGGGCCAAATATTTTCCCTGAGAGAAAGATAGCTTCTTTAATAAATGGTACTGGTAAAGCCTTTCCACAAGTTGAAGGTTAAACCATACTCATATTTCTCACTGTGATTCAGCAAGGGGCCAAGGTCCTCACTTTGTAAACATCCTCAGCCTATAGAAGAGGAAGGCACAGAGATGGTGTGGTTGTAAAGGACCGTCCCCCCCATGGTAACAGGCTTACAATATAGGGGAAGAAAAGAGGCTTGCTACCCTCCTTTAGCTTTTGTTGCTTTTGCTGTCTTCTGCTGCCTTGAACTGTTGCCCCTGTGCCACGCCATCCTGCCTTGGAGCCAGATGACTATGAACTGAAACCTCCACAAACTGTGAGCTAACTAAACCCTTCCTTCCTTCACTTTGGGTGTCAGGTATTTTGTTTCAGCAATGAGAGAAAGTAACTAACACACACCAGAAGCTTTACAGAACTATTTGATAATTATTTTAACAATCTGTATCAAAGTGATAACAACCAAGAATTTGCAGTCTATGACCCATGGACTAGATCTGGATTGCTGATCTTTATTTTTGTGTATAAGATTTTCTGGGACTGGTTATGCCCAGGTTTTCACATGCTGGCTGTGCTTGCTTTCCAATTTTGAGCAGATGGCTCACGAAGACCGAAAGTATTTATTATGTGGCCCTTTCCAAAATAAAGTTGATCTATGCTATAAATCAGATAATTATAAATCTAACTGTTGCGGGCGGGGTGGTGCACACCTGTGATCCCAGCACTTGGGAGGCTGAGGCAGGAGGATCGTTGTGAGTTCAAGACTAGCCTGGGCTACAAAGTGAGCTCAAGGCCAGCCTGAACTGCATAGAGAGACCGTTTCTCAAAAAGACAAAAAAAAAAAAAAAAAAAAAAAAATTCTAACTGTTATGAGATACGCATCAAGGTAAAAGGATTTATAGGTCCTATATCAACTAAGTTTTATCATGTTCTTTATAATCACATGTAGGAGTCCATTCAATTGATATTTTATTGATTGTTGTGGTCAGGGTTTTCTAACATTTCTTACATAGAATAGAGGTTTCTGTACACATTCCTTTAAAAATCAGTTCTGCAGTTAAGCAGTTTTGTTTCTTTTATTTTTTTATTTTTTGTCTTTTTGAGACAGGGTCTCGCTATGCAGTTCAGGCTGGCCTTGAGCTCACTTTGTAGCCCAGGATGGTCTTGAACTCGCAACAATCCTCCTGCCTCAGCCTCCCGAGTGCTGGGATTACAGGCATGCGCTACCATGCCCAGCCCTAAGCACTTTTGAAATCCACTGCATATCATTCTCCTTCCTTGGAACATTCTCATACTCACTGCTAATATAAGAACAAGGCTGGGTGTCGTGGCACATGCCTATACTGTAATCTCAGCCTTCAGGAGGCTGAGGCAGGAGCATCTCTGTAAGTTTGAAGCCAGTCTCAGCTACAAAGTGAGTTCAAGGCCAGCCTGAACTTTGCAGTGAAATCCTATCTCAAAAAGATAAAAAAGACAAAAAAACTCCCCAAAACAGAGGCAGGCACATTTCTCACTTTTTATTATGTGTAAAATAAAATGTATCTCTAAAAAGACTTTTTATAGTGCAAACAAGAAAAGAATTGTAGTCTCAAAACTTATTGTATCAATAACACTAGTGAAACTAAAACCAATTAAAGACAAAGCTGTACACAGACATGGGTAGCAAATGAAGTATATGGGAAGTTGTAGGATTAAAAAATAAGTCTCCTCCTTTAGAGGGTATTTAATGAGTATGGGGTGCAGTAGGTTGATGCAAGTAATTGAACAGTTCAAAATAGTTAATGAAAAGGATTTTGAACATTCAAAATGATGCAAAGAGATGATGCACATCTGAGATGATGGATACGTCCATTGCTCTGATCATTACACATTGCATAGTGCATTGAAACAGCATACTATTCTCCATAAATATACGTGGTTATTGTCATAAAGATGTAATTAAAATGGAGAAACATAGACATCTACTTTATACAAGCAACTGTGATCAAGTCACGTTGTTATAGTATGCAAAGCTAATAGCAATGTGCAGATTGCTACATAGGAATGATAGTTAATTGAAAAACAAAATTAAAATCAAACCAAGCCACAAGAGATAGCTCTTCCTTCCACTTTCTTATCCACTTCTCAGAGATAGTCATGGTTAAAATATTTTTGAAATCTTCTCTGTTCTTTGAAGAGAAAAAAAAAAGAAAACGGAAATACATCTATTTAAATGTTGCTTTAGTTGTTTTTCAGAAAAGAGATTATAATATGCATTGTTTTGCACCTTGAGTCTTATATGTGAATGTGTATTTTGGAGAGATTTAACTGTCAATGCTCAATCTTTATCATCTGTGGTGACTATTTATTTGGTAGTAGTATTTCCAAAGTTAGTCTTCTCTAGATAAAAGAGCAGCTTATAATATTTGTTGTTTTGTTGTTGATGTTTATTTCTGCAACTATGAAAGTGCTGAAATGAAATCTTTATACACATACTTTGATGCAGTTATATCAGTCTGTAGAGTAAAATCATGAGTGGAATTTCTAGGTAACACCTAAAAATGTGAATAAATTGTCTTTTGGTGGGCTGGGGATATAGCTCAGTGCCACAGTGCCTGCCAGGCAAGTGCAGTTCTCGGTACTAAAAAAAAATTGTCCTTTGTAGAGTTTGTATTATTATATATTCAATAATGAATGAGGTATTTTTTCTCCATATCCCTACTTGTAGTAAAACTTTTGCTTAAGAAATATCTTTAAATATCACATACTTAAAAGTAATCATCAAAGAAATTTTGTACTCTGATGTAGTTACTCTTTATGTGATTGTTATTATTATTATTTTTTTTTTTGGTTTTTCTCCGGTACCGGGAACCAAACTCACAACCTTGCACTTGCCAGGCAGGGGCTTTGCCGCTGAGCTAAATCCCCAGCCCCTATGTGATTGTTATTATACTCCTTAGAAATAGGCACATGAGTAGTACTTCTTTATACAAGATCAAATATAGAAGATCAAAATTTGTAAAAATATATCTTGAGTTAAAAAAACATGTAAACTGAGAAGCAATAAGGAATGAAGTTTTTCAGCTGATTATTGAACAAAGCCACAGTCATTATTATGTGATTATTAAACTCATCAGTAATAATGCCTAAGTAATCTCTTCTTAAACTTAGATGGCTCAAATACCAGGGAAAGTAAACTGGTGTCCTGTAGATGTTATTTTTATAATTGCTTACATTTGTTTGTGAGAGTCAAATGGCCAGGGATTTAAAATTTATCTAAATGAACTCCATGTGTTTTCCTGTTGGTCACTATTGTTAGGTAATAATCCTGCTGGGGATTTGAGATTTTTCTCAAGAATATCACTTTTACATTAACCACAGGTTAACTAAGGCAGGTTAAAGCAATGGAAAGAACCAGGTGTGGGGTTAGGGGAGTAGCTGTTTTCACAAAGAATTTCTGTGAGTAGAACACTGACTTGGGTCTGAGAGACAGTCTCTTCCAGAATTACAGCTCTTTGCACTTTTGAACTAATCAATACATTTATATGCTTATGCTCCCTGTTATGACAAGAATCCACATCTAAAAAAGACTGTAAAATCTGGCTGCAGCCATTGAGAAGTTGGTTTCTTGTCTATAAGATGAGGATTTTTTTCCTGAACTAAGGCCTGTGAGAACCGGATATGCTCCTCCTGTTCCCTCGCTCCTGGCATACAGTTCGTTGAAATAGCAATAGTTGGTTTTATTTTTTTAAATTAATTCCTTCTGGTGTTTTACAGGTCTAAGGTCAAACACTGACTAAAAATGACTGGAAAATTCCACATTTCCGGTTATCAAGACAGTAACAGCAAAAGGATTTTTTTTGGATCTCATGAGTGGAGGCAGGCTGCTTTTCCCGTGGCTCAGGGAATATGTCAAGCAGACTGGGAGGGGACAGTAGGCACCAGTGACCAGTCTCATGGGGAGACTAAACTACTGGTCAATTTTGCTAAGATGCTTAGATTTGGCGCAAACTCACCTGCCAGAGCGTTGTCACGTGGGATGAAACACACATCCAACCAGCGCAAAAGACCTTTATTGCCCATCTATCAGCAGCCACAGACCGCGGAAGTTTGAAATTCACAGTGTGCCAGTCTCCTGGGGTTCCAGGCCGCGGTCTAGGGTGCAAGGCTCACCCGCCTGCCGGTGCCCGCCGCCCATCCATAGCAGGTGAGGGCTCCGAAAGCACCACACGCTCAGATATTTTATCCCAGGAGAGACAAGGACCCGTGGCTGTTCGGACAGTTCATCCTTGTTTCAAGATGTTGCTTTCTTGCTGTCTTCTGCCTGAGAACTGCAAGAAAAAGGGGAACAGCGGGTCTGCCCTGCGTAGGCGTAGATCTGTCCCCTGGGAATACCGAGCTCGCTGCTGATCTCACTTTCTTATCTTCCTTCCAGGAGCGAGGCTACCTTTCCTTCCGCTGGTTCTTCTAAGGGTCTGCGCACATGAAAGCTTGGCTACACTTTCCACCTGCAAGTGTTCCCTGAAGGCTTAGGAATTCATTTTCAGATTTTTCTTTGACTTTCTTTGTGTTTTTCACGTTTGATAAAACTACTTCATCTGATTCCACAGCTGAATGTGAGAGAGGCCCTGCATATAAAATTCTACCTAATTTATAGATGGTAATAAAGCGACTCCTAGACTTTTGTGCAAAATTAGCCAAATGGCAAAAGGTAGGACTGGGATTAAAGCACACATCTCTATTTCCAGCTCCAGAGCCCCTTTACCTCAGTGTGCTCCATTTAAATGGAATAGGAGTTATTCTGTAATTGCTTGTGAACGTAGACTATGTGTTTGATGCTCTATTTGATATTAAAGGAGGGTGGAACAGTAAGATGTGTTCCAGCCTCACAGCTATTTATAATCTAGCCAGATACAAAGAAGCATATATAAGATACACAAAGGAATCATGTAAGTAAACTGAAGAAACACCGAGAGGGAGAGGACAAATGTGCTTCCGAAAGGCCAAAGTCAATTGTAAGCTGAGATCCCACGGACCGGCAGGGTGTGAATTACTGGAATGAGAGGAAAAGGAGCTGAGGGTAGGGGTGCCTTTTGAAGACCACCTTACCCAGAGCTGCGGGCCATGTTAGGCGTTAGGAGAGCATTAACTGAGACCCGGAATTGAATGTGGGGGGCCACACTCCTTTCGTTACTCTTTCTGTTCTCAGCTATGAAGCTGTACCCAGATTGCTTCGGCTAAGAAGTTCCCATCATTTTCTTCCTCAACGATTAGTATGGTGTTGGGCAGGTAAGCAAACCGGAGTCAGTGAGGTGTTCGTCAGGCTTGTAAGGAACGGGAAGCAGCTTTTCCTTTAATAGAAAGTGACATCTACAGTTTGACAGCCATTAGCATTGCAGAGACAGCTAGATGAGTCTGAGGCTCAAGACAGAAACGAGACCTGACCTCAGAGGACAGAAGCAAGAGCATGGAAGAAACTTGCTGCTGGTGATATAATTCGGTGACCTAAAGATGTCTTCGCTCCTTTACACACAACAGTAGGTCTCATTTTTATTAATATATATCATCTCTCTGTATGAGGGGGCTGAGACGGATGGCTCACTAAGGAGAGTGGTGAACTTAGAAGTATGAATGAAATATGTGGCAGATTTCATTGTAGTCACAGACTGGATCTGATTTTGAATAATCATATGATCGAACTTTGTATATTGCCTGTTCACAGGTGTCAGGAATTATCAAAGGATGCATTAGAAGAGGTAACGTGATAGATAGAAACATAGATGGTGGGGAAATGGAAGAGACAAAAATCTCTGGGCGCTGGTGCCAATGCAAGCCTGTGGTTTTGAGCCCTTCCTGCCTTGCAGCTATGGACTTGAATTCTGCACCCTCTGAGAATGGTGAGCTAAGAAAAACCTCTCCCCGCTGCTTTTTTTTTTTTTTTTACTTTAAAGAGAGTAGTAAATGAGAAACAAAGAAACAAAAAAGTAGAACAGTAGCAGCATAACATTATCACAAACAACCAAATCAAAGCAAGAACATTCAAACTGATACAGAGTCTCAAGACAAAATAATACAAATCAGCAGTGGTTGTTACATTACATATCACTATCCTCAACTACATTGCTCAGATTACCAGATGTAAGAATGAAAGGTTGCTCAAACCATTAAAGAGAATAAGAAAATAATTCTTCCATGAAACATTAGAGATAATTCAGAGTAGCACTAAACAAGATGGTAGGAGTTCACCATTGTAATTCCAGTGCGTATTGTTACCTCTAGATCAGTTGCTCAGACCACCAGACACAAGCATGCACAATCAATCAGAACATAAAAAATTGTAAGCATTAACTGTTCATTTCAATACATCATCAGACATCAGCAATAGAGTTATCACAGCTATGTATATTTATACTTTGCCTTCCTTCTTTCAATTCTAGGAAAATACCCAAAGGGGAATAGCTGGGTTAGATGGGACTTTCAATCTTAGTTTTGTGAGGAATCTCCAAATTGATTTCCACAGTGGTTTCACCCATCTATACTCCCCCACCAGCAGTGGAGTAGGGTTCCTTTCTCCCCACAGTCTCTCCAGCATTTGTTATTGGTTGATTTCTTGATGATAGCCATTCTTTCTGGTGTGAGATGGATTCTCAGTGTTGTTTTAATTTGCATTTTTTGAATGACTAATGATGTTGAACATTTTTTCATGTATTTATTTGCCATTAGTATCTCTTCATTAGAGAAGTGTGTATTCATTTCAGATGCCCATTTTTGGATTGGGTCTTTGAATTTGAGGAGCCTGATTTTTAAAAATGTCTTCTAGTTTAAACCGGGCGTGCTGGTCCACACCTGTAATCTCAGCCCTCCGGGGAGGCTAAGGCAGGAAGAGAGCTTTGAGTTCAAGGACAACTTGGGTTATAAAGTGAGTTCAGGGCCAGTCTGAAATGCATAATAAAACTTTGTCTCAAAAAAACAAACAAACAAAAACTTAGTTTAAAATATTATATGACAGCATTGAGTTAAATACTATTGTTTTACATTTATTTCTTAAAACTTCTATTTAAAATATCGACTCGTTTCAATGGTAGAAATAATGAAATGATAAAATTTATTAAGAAAACTAGAAACTGAAAACAAATTACTACAGGAAATGAGTAATAAGTTTACCTTTCCCAGGAGTGTACGCTGTATTCTCTTTATGAAGTGAAGTTAAAAATTCTGACAGCAGCTCTGCAACTTCTTAAATAACCAGCAGGGGTCAGGCTTGTACTGTATTATACAATGCTATTACAACCCGACGGATTTGGTTGCTAATAAAATGAACTGAGTATGAGAAAAACACAAAGTACTGTCTCAGAGTTGAAAGAGAAACACTTTAAATATGTTTCTAGATAATCACTCTTTCCCCATTAATTGTGAAATGGAAAAGTCTGGAAGTAATTTGACACTCTTTATTCATAGACAAAAAACTCACAGTTTGAATTTAAGATGAAGTAAAATTTATCTATAAAATATGACAATAATTTCATAAGCAATTGTTAACTAGAAAAGAACAGTACACAGTTAGCATAGTAGATGTATATATTTAGTCCTTCATTGCTCAGTGAAGGAGACGTTTTCTGAGAAACATGCTTTACGGTTTTGTAAGCATCATGGAGCTCAGCTACACACACTAAGATGCCGTGATGACGCTGGGTGACGTAACCTTGTGGACACTGTCTTCTATGCACCCTGACACCGAGGGAAACGCCGGTGTGTATGCATCTGAGTCAAGTTTCAAAAGTGTATGTCAAAGAGCATGACATCGTTAGCAGTAATTGTTTATGGATGGCAGCATTGTTTACATGTTTTCCTTTTCTACATCTTATTTGTTCTAACTTCTGAAATTTCTACAATACAGATACTAACCAGAAGCGTTTCCCTAAATGGATTCTGCCCAATGTGAACTCCCCGTTCACTCTGTGTTGCAGTCGGGAAGAACTGAACCGAGGACGGGTGGCGGGAATCTCTGAAGCGGGAAGGTCTGCAAGCTGCGTGGGTGGGAGATGCGGGCCCAGCCAGTGTCGTCTGCAGCACTCGCCTCGGCCCTGAGCCCAGGGCCTCAGCTCTTCTGCGAGGCCGCTGTTTTCTTGTTGCATTTCGCGTGTCGGTGATTAGGTGCTTCAGCAGTGCATGGATCTGTTTAATTCTTCTGATGAGGTAAGGTCTACCTTAGGTCTAGTGGCTTCTCTCCTATAGATACACAATTTCCATAAGCATTGTCTTGGTTACTTTCCTCTCGTTGCTGGGACAAAATACCTGACGCCCAAAATTAAGGAAAGAAATGTTTATTTCACTTACAGTTTGTGGAGGTTTTAGTCCATACTTGGCAGATTACAAGGCAGGGTGGTACATGGCAGAGGGCTGCAGCTCCTGGCACAGAACACAGCAAAGCAACAAGCACACACCAGGGTGGAATGGGGCAGGAATGGCCTCAAGCAGCCTCTTCCTCTCCCTTACATATACAAACTATCCACCCCAGGGTGGGTGCAGCTCTCACACCCATAATCAATCAAACTCTAAAAGCCTGCCCCATGGCCACATGAGGCTTTGGGGGGACACACAGACATAAACCATAACAAGCATGGGGGTTTCTTGACCTCTCCTTGTCCCACAAGCACAAGGGATCTCCAAGGATGGATGTGAAAGCTCTGTATGTCCCTGCACAGTAGACAGCTGGTCCTTCGTGGGGTCTTGTAGTTTTCCAAGGCAATGCCATGGGATGCGGGGGGATGGGATGTTTCTCTCCCCCGGCAGCACAGAGACCCACAGGGCTTCTGATCTTACATCCGCAGTGTTAATTCTTTCCCAGGCTGCTCTGGGGTACTGAGCACCTGTCCTCCATCTCCCATGTCCTGTGCTTACTATTTCTTTCGCTTGAGGAAATAGAATAACAAAATAAAACAAGCCAACAACAATGCTTAGTTTGCACAAAGGAAAGCAACAGGGGAGTATGGAAAAATACTAGGAAACATTATTACTATTGCACAAGTATTTTCTACCATATCATAAAGTATTAAAGGGAGAAAATTCCAACATTGAGATATACACCCATTATTTCTACAATGAATGGGAATCAGTTGCACATCGATGAATGGTAGCTGTGTGACAGAGCTTTTGAGTTTCCCTTTTTGTTTCATGAGAGAGAGAGAAAGAAAGAGAGAGAGAGACAGAGACAGGGAGCGAGGACCCTATTTCATGATTCTTATTGCTTGATTATTATTTCATGACTACTCCAGGATAAATTGCTTTTTCCTGCTGCTGCTATTCCTCAGCGCTCCACTGTTTGGAGCTCTTGCTGTATTCTTCAGTGGGTCTCCACTACATTTTGTTAGCTTACTTTTTATATGCTATATTGTAGCAGCTTCTCAGCTCTGTAGCTTCTGTCCTCGTCAAAATGTGTCTTCCAGTGGAGTTGCCTATTGTGCCCCGCCCCTTGTATGAGTGGAAGTATAAACTGTGTCATTTTCTAGGAAGGGCTGCACCCAGGAGCTAGTAGCTAAGTTGTAGTGGATCGCTGCAGACACTGCTTAGGAAGTTAGCATCTGTGAAATGTTATTGTGCTGGATTAACTAATGGTCAACTTGTAGTACCTATCTGAACCGCATCAGCCTGGTGCTGGGTGTGGGCCTGCCTGAGGATTGTTGCCAACAACATGAAAAGGAGAACTGGAGAGGAAGATGTGGTGCAGTTGGTTCTCCTGGAGAAGCTTGTTGTGCTAGCTTTCCTGATATGAACTCAGCTGTTCTTGTAGGAGGAGCTCAGGACCTCGCTGTCACCAAGGATGGCTGAGGTTCTTTTGCGGGGAGCTCTAGTGTTTACCTTGAGTCTTGCTTCCTGACTCCAGTGCAGATCCCTCAGCCTCCTGACATAGATCCTTAATCCCACTGGTGCAGACTTTCTAGCTTCCACCACTGACCTTTGGGCCTTCCCAGTGCAGATGCTTGATACAGTCTTGCATGAGACAATGTTGTGGGCTCTAGGCCTCCAGTTAGACTTGTGGAGGACATTGCCGTGGGATCCAGGCCCTCGGCTGGATTCTGTGGGTCTGTAGTGTGTGGACAGATCTCCTGAACTCTTTTGCATCTGACTCTTTGGGGGTCTATTATAAAATAATCCTATGCATTATGTGTCCTGTGTTAAAGTGTTTCCCTAGTAAACCCTGAATGCAACAGTTCTGCAATCTAAGTTGTGCAATACTTTCTGCTTCTCTATTGACTCATGTTCCTGCGCCTTGAGTGGAAATCAACACGTGTGAATATTCAAGATTTTGTTATTCATGTTCATTTACTTGCTTGTTTTTGAAGTGAGTTGGCCAGATACAGGGTGAATGTGCTCTGGAACAGGAGGTCAGTGAATTATGTGTTGCTACTGATGGTGTGAGACTGTGGTACCCGCCTATGTCTTGTCTTGCTAAAGCAGACTTTCCTATCTGCTGAGACGAGGATGTGTGGTTTTGCATAGCACAGCATTCAGCATACATTTTCCTAACTAAGGATAGAAAGAGAGCTGAGTTTGGAACTTAGCAAGACAGATTCTTTTTTAAAGAGGAGACATTATGGATGAAATACTGTCTATTTTCCATAGTTTTCAGAAATGATTGTCCAATAGATGGTATCTTGCATGTTCCCTAAAATAAAAAGTTGTGACAGAAAGTGTTGTAATTGGTACCATTGATAACTCAAAGGCTTTTAGAATATTTTTGCTTTATAAATAAAGTTCTGAAAGGAGCTGGCCACTTACCAAAATGTGATTTTAAAAGCATCTCCATAGTGAAATCATATAAGAAGGCTTCTAATAGGATGTGTTTAGTTCTAACCACTAAAAACTAACAATCTCTTCAAGAGCCATTAGGAATCCAGATAATGGTTTTTAGCTTCTTATAAATGCACATAATCACTGTACCATTTATGTGAGAAATTTTATTACACATTAAAAGTACTTTTGAAAGAAGTTTTAATTTTCTTTTACAACTTCTGTTTTTCTTTTTCTGTAAGCTTTTCTTTTTTTCTTTTGTCTTTTTGAGATAGGGTTTCCCTATGCAGTTCAGTCTGGCCTTAAACTCACTTTGTAACAAAGGTGGGCCTTGCACTCATGGGGATCCTCCTGCTTCAGCCTCCCGAGTGCTGGGATTATAGATGTGTGCCACCACACCTAGCTTTCTGTAAGCTTTGTTGCTTTTTGTGAAAATTTGATTGTCTCTTTTTGGAATTTCAATCATGGATTTGAATGCTTCTAAGTGAACTAGTAATAATTATTTCAAGTATTCAGATTTACCTAAAATAATATCAATGATTCCTTATACATTTTTTCTTATAATAGATTATGCTCTGATGACAGGTAGTTCTGCATGAAAAAAACCTTAATAATGTTAGTAGTTTAAAAAAAGCAAAAGAAAAGAAAAGAAAAATTTATGTAGAGGGGGAACCAACTGTCGTGAAGGAGGGAACAGGAGTGGAGATGAAGGGAATGGGCACGTTTGCTCTGTGAAGGTTGCCAGTGTGTCCGACCTCACACGAGATCAAACGCCCGAAACCCTCAAGCGTGGAGTGACCTGCGGGAAGGACCCCAGCATGCATTTAGCCAGGGGCCAGAAGAGTCAGTGAAGATTTTAACAGAGCCTGCTCTTCAATTCTGGCAACCCAGAGCCAGGCTGTTAAAATGTTAACCAAGGATAGTGTATTATTTCTACAGACAGGAGCTTTTAAAAAATACTTATGTAGCTTTTGAGTGTATAACTAGTGGGACGGAGGTGACAGAAATAACAGTTATTTTTATTGGAAGAACTTACCAAGCAACAACTGTCCCAGAATATGTGAAGCATCCACTCTTTCTCCAGGAAGACCCTTTAATGCATTCCATTGAAGTCCCATCTTCACAGGTTTTTCTCCAATTGCCGAATGAACATGTCTTTTTGTGTGTGTGTTTTTGAGACAGGGTCTCGCTATGCAGTTCAGGCTGGCCTTGAGCTCACTTTGTAGCCCAGGCTGGTCTCAAACTCACAAGGATCCTCCTGCCTCAGCCTCCCGAGTGCTGGGATTACAGATGTGCACCACCATGCCCAATCTCGAATGAATATGTTTTTCATAACCACTTATCACCAGAGGGTGTCTGAATAGCCTTGCACTCCATGAAGTAATAATCTTGAACTAGCTTTGTTCTGATAAAGATGTTAAGCAATTCTACATTTGAAAAATCCCAAATGAATACTTAGCAGGATCGATGAGGGAGTTGACACAGATCTCATTTTTGGTGATAACCAGAGATAGCTCTTTGCTGGGTTTATACCAACTCAGCCATGAGACTGCAGCTCCTCCTGACAGTGCTGTGTGAGCCGCGAGACTGCTGCTCACTTGCGTGTATGTTCGGGGCCTGACCTTGCCTTCTCTCCTGTTTCACTGTTTTCAAGAGTACATTTCTAAAGTGCTAAAAAAGCTTCTCCGTCAAATGAAAAAGCCGCCTTAACAAGCAAGGTCCCTCTCCCCGAGGTCTGCGCACTGAGAGCCCATGCCGGCCTGTCTCTGCGCATTCCCGACTCTGCAGCGTCACCGCTGTGCCTCACGTCTCTTACCCGTGCACGCTGTCGGGGGCTGGACATGCACTTAGGGAATACTGGCTAGGATGAGGAGGACGCTTTCCCGGAAATGCCGAGATGACTTCCTGGTAAGATCACTTTCCGGTAAGGGCGACACACGTCTGTTCCTGTCTCTGGTCTCTCTTCCACCTTTGATTTTCGCAGAGAGTTCAGCCAGGTAGCGTCAGGAGCACTGTCAAGAAAACATGCTTTTGAAGAACACAGTCTGGCTCTGCCGAAGGGTTGATGTGTCCTTGGAGGTGGTTCTGGGCTTCGCCAGCGCCAAGGACTTAATGAAGGCTTGAATGAATTAGTGCGTACAACTTGCGATGTGGAATGAAAGGAATTAATTGGTCCATGAGAGAATTAAACTTGTAATCTCAGTATTAGCCTCTACTCCCAAATATAGTTTAGGATTGAGAATCAATGGTGTAGATGTGATATTTCCCACATATCAAGTTTTTATTTTTATCATTTAGTAAATCAGACTGTGGAGACACTTTAACACAACAGTAAACTCAGAGGAGAGGAATTAAGTGTGCGTGGCAGGCTGCTGCGTCAGGTCTGCTCCTAAAGTCTGACAGCGCAAGCTCTCTTGGGCCTGGAGGAGTGGCACATGAGCAGAGAGCCGTCTGCGGAGAAGCCAGCCACAGACTGTGTCACTATGCAGTGGCATCCTTCCGCCTCACAGCGGTGAGCTCACGTGTGAGCTCCTGGTCTTAAGCTATGATGTGTTTGAGAGTATCTTCATTGCAGCCTCAGTAGCACAGACAATGAATAAAGGCCCAGTCTGTGGTCTAGAAGGTTCTTAGCATCTGGATTTACTCTGGTTATCTAGGATAAAAGTCTCAATCCAGCCACGTACCACTTGATGACATTTTGTTCCGTGATGGACCACATAGACGATGGTGGTCCCATGAAATTTTAAGGAGATGAGAAATTCCTAATGCCTGGAGATATCACAGTCATCCCAATGCTGGAGTACAATGCATCATTTATGGGTTTGGGGTAATACTGGTCAAACAAATCACTCTGTTGCTAGTCAAATGAATGTATAGCATATACAGTTGTGTACAGTTCATAATACTTATCCTTTCTGGAGCCAAGAAAAAATAAACTACCATATGCATTTAAATTTTTTTTTTTTGAGCAAGCATAAAGGTTTCTTCCAGCTTTAATGATTAGAACTAACCATAGAAAATTCTTAGAATAATGATTTTAAGATTACTAGCGTATTCTTTAGTGGTTAAATAAAGTCATCAGTGCTTATAGAAAAATGGTCAATAAAATTGATGACTATTATTATACTCACATTGAACATTTATACTCTGACAAGTAGCATGGTTGGTTTCATTTTATTCTCAGAAAATGCCTGTGAAAAAGATAGTGCAATTATGCCCCGCTGACAGTGGGAAAATGAAACTTAATGAGATGGAGCCAGATTTCCAGAGCATAGAACTGAGCTTTGAATTCCAGCAGTAGCTGGATGTGGTGGCGCAAATCTGTAATCCCAGCACATGGGAGGCTGAGGCAGGAGGAGCGCTGGAGTTTGAGGCCAGCCTAGCTATATAGTGAGTTCAAGGCCAGCCTGAACTACTCTCAAAGAAAAAAAAAAAGGAATTCAAGCAGTTTAATGCAAGTTATCCACAAGCTAGGAGGAAAGCAGAATATTGAGCCATTTCTCCTTTCCTTTGAAGACACAGAGTGGAGAATCAGACCAGCAGAAATAAAGGAAAGACACTAATAGGGCTTTGGAATTGAACTTCTGGTGCTACAGCCTGATTAGGGAAATGATTCAGACTTCAGTGGTATTTGTCCCACAGTAATGGCCTCGCCTTCCTCCTCGCCCCAAATGTACAGTTAAAACACAGGGCTGCCAGATAGAATCCCTGCAATACTGGTTACTAACTCTATCTAAAAATCAAATTGAACTTGACTTTATATGTCAAATAAAAATACAAGATAATCAGATAAATTTAACTTTCAGATGAAACAATGAATATTAATTTAGTATAACTGTGCTCCAGGAATTGCATAGCACATACTTATGCTTGAAGAAATTATTACTCATCTGGAGTTCAAATTTAACTGGGTAGCTTGCATTTTTATTTGTTAGACCTGGAAACCCTCATAAAGTAGGAGTGCTAAGATAGGACCAAGAACAAAAATCTCAGAATGAAATAAACAACAAAACAGAGGTTGTGTAATCTAATAAACACTAGCTGATATAGTGAAACAATTTGCAAATAATAGATGCAGAACAAAAATGAAGCTGAGAATATATAATACTGTACGTCTGAGATATATTAATATGACAATGTAACAAATATTTGAGCTCTTTGAGGAAAGACGAGAAACCATGTGGATGCTAAAATTTATATCCTCCAAAGGAAGGATCAGTAGAAATAGAAATATACAATTTTTGTGTGGTTAGCACCTGTAATCCCAGCACTTGGGAAGCTGAGGCAGGAGGATCACCATGAGTTCGAGGCCAGTCTGGGCTACATCAGTGAGTTCAAGCCGGCCTGAACATAATGAGACCCTACCTCAAAACAATATACGATTTAAAAAATACCCAATTTTTAACGTATTGTTTTTCATTTTAGTGTTGTTGAGATCCCTTAGAAAATAATATTGGAAGAACTTGAAGTTCATGTCTTTATCTTTTTTTCTAATTAAATAAAGTAAAAACAATATGTTCAAAATGTATTTCATTTAGAAAAATATTCTGGTCCCAATTAATTAAAAATATTTCTGATATCTATCTCCTATCTACCTACCAATTTATCTACCACTGTTACTTTTATATTTCCACTTTTCTCTATTCATTCCAAAGAATTAGAATGAATTTCATTTAATGTCAGTGACAATCATTTTTCAGTGGTTGTTTTGAGGTGATTTTTAAATATGCGGTTTAGTGCTTTCTGGGTTGGTTATAATCAGTGTATATATAATGTTCATAGAAATGAGAGAATTAAAGCAATGAAATCTAAAATGGCCGGATGTTTAAAGAGGACAAATCTGGGTGGTAGGTGTTATTTTCTTCTAGATTGTGGTCTATAGTTTTAAAAATTATGCATCTGTGTAATATCCAGTATCATTTAGCAATGAGAAGAGAACTGATAAAAATTAGAAGTTAGCATTTTTATTTTGTTTCTCTGTCTTCTTGTAGGGAAAGGGATGGTGACATACATGCTGGGAATAGAGGAAAAATGTCAGGAAGAGGGAATAAAAAATAAAAGGATGAAGAAAGAAACTTTAAAATGCTCTAAGGTAAATTTTGCACATCTTATAGGAGGCCAGCTGTGCACTCTAATGTCATTTAAAGGAATAATCCTCACTTACTACCCTGCATGGGGCCTGGTATTATCCCTGGGGGACTGACAAGTTTCCATGTGATCATCCTCTGCCCGTGGCATTTGCTTGCTGAGTAGAGGGAAGCGGGGAGAGGGAGCGCTTCTCCAGGTTAATTTCCCACTTTCCTCATCTCGTGAACGCTCTGCTTAGAGTGAGAAGGGACTGGACTTGCGCTCAGGCAAAGACAGACAGAGAGGACTGAGAACGTGTAAGAGGCAGACACCCCTTTCCCCAGGACGAGGGTATTCCTGTTGACTACCTTTCTCACATCTCACAAACTACTTCAAGAAAAATTTCTCTCATCTTCTGCTTATCCCATGCAGCCTAGGCACTGCTGTGAGAGTGCCATTTCTGAAACACAATTACCGTTGCTTCTGGCTTTGCACAGATGTTTGGTGACTCCCTGCAGCGCTAAACCTAAATACACTAAACCCAGATACAAAGCTGTGGTGGATTGACAGCTGGTGGTCAACTTGTAACCCCCAGAGGAACTGAACCAGCAAGGTGCAGAGAGTGGGTTGCTGCCGGCAGCACAAGAAGCAGCAGTGGGGAGGAAGAAGAAGCTGTTGAGAGCTGGAGCGAGCTGTTGGTTTTCCTGGAGGAGCTTGTCATGCTGGCTTTCCTGATGAACTCTGCTGTTCTTATCATTGAGGTAGCTTAGGACCTTGTTGTCATGGAGAATGGCTGTGGTTCACTTTGGGGAGCTCTGGTCCTCACTTTGAGCATCACTTCCTGGCTCCAGAGTGGAAGATGGTGCACTGCTCAGTCTCCTGGAGAAGCTCGTCATGCTGGCTTTCCTGATAGGAGTCCAGCTGCTCTCAACACTGGAGGAGCTCAGGACCTCACTATCGCTGAGGATGACTGTGGTACTTTTCAGGGGAGCTCTGGTTCTTACTTTGAGCTTTGCTTCCTGGCTCCAGTGCAAATCCCTCAGCCTGCTAGCACAGACCCTTCACCCTGCTGGCATAAACTTTCTCGTTTTTACCACCGACCTTTGGGCCTTCCCAGCATAGATCTGTGAAACAGGCCTGCATGAGACATTGTTGTGGGCTCTTGGCCTCCAGCTGGACTGCTGGGAGGCATTGTTATGGGCTCTAGGTCTTCAGCTGGACTCATGAAGGACATTGTCATGGGATCCAGGCCCTCAGCTGGATTTTTGGGGTCTTTAGTGTGTGGACAGATTTCCTGCCCTTCTTATGTATATGAATGTTTGGGTGACTATTATAAAATAATCTTATAATTAAGTGTCCTGTATTGTACTGTTTCCCCTTACAAAACCTCAGCTACAACAAAAGCCTTTTACGAGTGGGCATGTTTACCAGCCCCTGGCTGTGTCCATCCTTTTCTCCTTAGTGCCGAAAACCTGAACAATCACAAAGTACAGTACTTACAGTTCTCCAAGTCTGTTTCGCCGCTGTTATATTACTTTCTCAGCAGAACCTTCCCTTATTACATTATTTGTATTATGTTCATCTCTTCTAAGTCACTTTGCTTAAGGTAGAGTTCTTCATGGCCACTGTTAACAGCTGATATAGTCTTTTTCTCCTTTTTTTTTTTGGTGCTGGGGATTGGATGCAGGGTCTCACACATACTAGGCAAGCACCCTACCACTGAGCTACACTCCTAGTCCAATCGCCAATGTACTTTTTGCTTTACTCAGTTAATTATTCATTTATTATCTATCTGTCTCTTTGTAATCGTTTGTGGGCATTATCCTTCTGGAAATTTTTCATCTGCTTTGTTAACGATATGCTACCAGTTCTGAGAACAGTGCTTGGCAACTGTAGGCACTATACACCGTTGGCCTAAAATTTCATTAATATCTCCATATAATGGTCCTCTCTTTTCCACTCTTCAGGCTCTCATACATGGGTAATAATGAAAGAGAATGTAGCAGGGGGTGGAGCCTCAGTTTCCTATATTTTTCAGTAGGAATCAGTTGTCTAGAAATTGATCTAGTCTAGGAACTTAGTACTGTATGTCCTATAAATTGAAATAGTTCTCTAACTCCCAGGAAGTGACTGCAGTTTCAATTGAATAAATATATATTTTTATTAGCTTCCTTCAATGCCATGAAATCCTTCCTCAGAAGTTTAGATAGCTCTACTTTTATTTTTTCTTTGATTTATTTTAAATCCTTTTTCCTTCCCCCTCATCTTTTGTACTCTTTCCCATTTGAAAAGATCTCCCTACTTCCTATTATCTCTCATTTACTTTGCTTTTCATTGATATTTTGTGGATATATAAGAGAAAACATGGATTAAGAGTTGGAGAGAGTGGGGAGGGATGGAAGGAAAGTAGCCAAAAAAAAGGAATTAAGTGTATTATGTACATGTATGAATTCCCCACATACATATAATCATTATGCATTGCAAACATATACTAATAAAAATATATTAACAAAATAAATGTAAAAGTAAGGAATTCCAGTAGATGATTTGGTGGTCACTGTAACTCTGCACTGCTCTTGTTAGTACCCTACTCTAGATTGGGAGCAAGCCTGGAACCAGTAAACTTCTTTAAACATGGTCATTCACTGTCTTAGTTACGTTTTTGGTTGCTGGGACAAAATACCCAACACCCACAAGTGAAAGGAGGAAAGGTTCATTTAGCTCACAGTTTGTGGAGGTTTCTGGCCATAATTGGCTGGCTCCAAGACAGGGTGTCACCTGGCAGAGGGCAACTATGCACAGTGGCAAAAGACAAAAGCAACAAGAGTGAAAGGGAGGAACAAGCCTCCTTTCCACCTTTATACTGTATGCAGGCTACCCGCCCTAGGGCAGGTGTAGCAGTCACACCCCCAGTCTCAGCACTAGACAATGAACAAATCACAAACTCTAGATTTAGCTACTTCTGAGAAGTCCCCTCTTCCTCATACCAAACGAGGCTCTGTGGGGACATCCAGACACAAACCATAACATTCACCCTGCACTTTGTCTCTCTCGGGGTTAATCCTAGTACTGTCCTGTGCCCAGTCACTGTCTTGTCTGTCTGCTTGAGGGTGGAGGTACTTTTATGTGTGTGGCAAGAACTTACCATTAATTAACAAATCATGCTGCATCCCCATTGAGCATTCACAGAAAATAGAGAAGATCTATATAGCAATAGAATTTTAGTTAAGTGCTATGCACTGCCATGAATAAATTTGCTTACCTACTACAGTGTTTGTGAGTGGGAAAGGGAGGTCATAGGAAGTTAGGCCTGGATTTGAAGTCTGATTAGATGTAAGACTTGGTTATATAACCTCTCTTAACCTCCTCTTCCTTACCTATTAAAAAGCTCTTTATTTTTGCGAAAACCAGTGCCATGGCATTGGTGTCTATGTGTGCAAGGTAGTGAGCCTTTCCTTGGTATCGGTATGAAAAAGAAAAAGCTCAGGAGTCCTCTAGCTGTCGGAACTGACATAATTCCTCTCTGTAGGAGAGCACATTCACACGAGTCTCTGAGTTCAAATTCACGCTCCATGACTGACATGTGTGACCTTGAGTACATTAGTTATATCTGATTTGTCCTTATCTGTAGTGTAAGTATAGCCATAGCACCTACTTCAAAGGATTACCTTATAGAATAAAAGGATTATTACCCATACAGCCTGAAACAACACTGGGTACATATTAAATATTAGATTTTATTGTTTGTTGTCTTTTCCCCTACATAATAAATCCTTTTTTTTTGTTTTGTTTTTTGACACAGGGTCTTGGTATGTAGTTCACGTTGGCCCTGAAGTTGCTATACAGCCCAGGCTAGTCTTGAACTCATAGTGATCCTCCTGCCTCAGCCTTTCAAGTACTGGGATTACAGGTGTGTGCCCCCATACCCGGCTAATAAATCCCTAATGCATGTCCAATATGTAAATAATATGTATGAAAAAATTCCCATTGTATGTGTATATGATATCCAAACATATAACATGTGTAGGTATATGGTCTCAAGTAATGATTGCACAAGTCTCATAGTTACTGGTTTTTGCAAAAATAAAGAGCTTTTTAAAAAAATATTTAAATCAACCTACAAGGAGAGAGGAGGCCTGTCCAAGTCTGTCTCCTGGATTGGCTGGTGGGAAATTTACGCCTCCTGGGGTAAAGCGAAGGAGATGGTGGGGGTGTACCGGGGCATCAGGGAGGGTACTCTCTTGTGGCTATCCTGGATCTTGTGGAACTTGTGAGCAATAGGGAGTTTCCTCTCTTCATTATTATGGCTGGGACTGTGGGCAGGCCCCTGGCTTCTCACTGAGGTTCTCCATGTCCTGTGCTTGTTCTTCAGGGTTAGCTTGTTCCTCCAGCCTCTCTAGGTCATTTCAGTTTAGGTTGTAAAGGTTCTGCATCTGTATCCTGAAAAACCGTTTGCATAACAGTTTTTAGGAATGGAAGTCCCATTTTATGGCCTAAATTCAAAACTAGTTTCTTATTTCTTCACAATTAACATTTCATTATTGAGAAATGAGAAAAGTCACTGTAAACACAGAGCATCAGTCTTTCTCATTGTGTTTCATAAACTGGCGGAAGTGTGGGTATTCAGATGGGTGTCCGGAGCTGAGTTACGCCGGATAGGCATGTGCATGTATGTGTATGCTTAATAGATAACCTTGTTCACCAGGAACAATTTTCTGTAGCTGAACCAGAGAATATTCACCACTCACTCCAGATGTGAGAATAGGAGAAGAAAAAAAAAAATAGTAGCAATGTCAGGTTCATATTATATTAAGAGAAGAAATTTAGCAGAGATGTTAAATAAATTCTCCTTAAAAGCTGGGTGTTCTAAGGGAAGTTCTCTGTCTTGCAAAGTAATAACGCCCTCACCCCACGAGACAGAAGTAAAGTTTGGTGAAAAATATATGTAAGTAAGAATAAAAGGTAATCTATATGTGGGAGTTTATTTGCACTACGTGCTATTTTATCGAAGTAAGAGTATTTACATTAATCTTTGAAAAGTGAAGGGAGAAGATTTGGGTCTTGGGACTTGCAAAGTTTATCTTAGAATTTAATGAATTCCACATTTTAGTAAATTATTAGACTTAAAAGTCACAGAACAAGACCAATAATTTAATAAATTTACCAAATATATTTCTTGAATAAAACCCAATCTATCATATTGGATTTAATTCCCAGTCATGAAATTGTCTGAATCAATCCATTCCTCGAACTTTGTTGCCAGTACAGTTGCTTCTTGGTATGCAAACGTGCAGGCAAGAATCAGCTTTCGTTCTAAAGGGAATTCCATTCTCAACCAAATGCCGGAAGTGGGGCTGCGAGTGGGGAGGAAAAGATTTTATTTTACTTTATGTTTTACCTCTTTCTCCATGACAAGTAGAATCTCACATTCACATGTACCTTATCTTTATAGGTTGCTGTCCTTAAGAGATGCGTCACCTCCCAATCCGAAGCGGTGAGTCAGTAGAAATTGCCCAGAGCAACTGTTTCCTCTTATTCCCTGATGGGAAAGTAACTATGAGTCAGACACTGTACCTTTTTCTACAGCTGGAGCAGCATTCAGGTTAGCAGTTTCATATTCAATTTGTCTGTGCAATGCTCAGTAAAGCTTAGCATTAAAAAATGTACCATTAAATTAGCAAGATTTCATATAAAAGCAGACCTAGAGAAAGTATTTAAATTTCATTTGGATTTCCACTGGAGCATTGAAACACTACTGTTCTGGCAGGTACTTATGTGAACACTTGATACTGTTCTTTGACACCATCTTGGGCTAAAATAAACCTTTTGAAACAGTTTTGTAAACTGCACGGGAGACTACAAAACGCAAGGAAGTGCCAGACGCAAAGATCAGCAAGACTATTAAAGGATGAACAGCCCGATGTACCAAATGTTTCTTCTCTGGTTGGGGATTTTGCACAGAACCTGAGAGTTGAAAATGAGATCAGAGATGAGCAAAGGCTGCAAAGAAAAAACAGAAAAACCCCAATGACTTGCAGCCTGTATGACACCAAGGAAGGTGAACACTGTTGTATAGTCTTCTGTGCTGAGCTGACCCGAATGACACCGGCACTCAAGCATTTTTGAAAGAAATACTCTATCTCTGACAAAAGTCTGAAAGTATTTTCATTCTATATTTTTGCCCATTTAGAAAGTTTTCTTTCAATATATTTTTCCAGCCACCTAGAGACAGAGTATTTCCTTCAAAAATGATTCTGAGTATGATTTTGGGTGAGTTATGGTAGCTTCCAAAGTAGTTGCCACGGAATTAGTCAATTTTATCTTACACTGTTGAATTTATCCACATACAATTGTCAACTGTATTCTCTTATGGCCATTTTAATTTTGCATGCTTTGTAGTGATAATCCTCCTTTCATTCCCAATACTACTAATCTGTATCTTTTCTCTTTTTATGTCAGTCTTGCTAGACATATATGTTTTATTAACTTTTTAAAAATATCAATTTTTTATTTTAAAACTAAAAAAAGCTAACAAAACAACAATGAAGACAAAATCAAATCGACACAAAAACAACAAAAATGATACAGGACCTCAAAACAAAATGATAGGAATTAACAAAGGTTGCTATGTTACTTACTGTAATCTTCAACAAAGGTGCTCAGTCAAAAGTACCAATTTTTGGCTTCCTTTATTTTCTCATCATTTTCTGTTTCAGCAATTTCTATTTTTATTATTTATTTATTTTTGCTTTCTTTGGTTTTATATTGGGTTTGTTTTTCTAGCCATTTAGGGTGGATGCCTGGGTTTATAATTTGGATTTTTCTTTCTTACTGGTGGTATTCAGCCCTATAAAATTTCTGTTAAGCACTGCCTTGGTTACATTTGATAAATCCTGATAGTATGTCACTATCATTTAATTAAAATTCTTTTGTAATTTCCTTAGAGGCTTATATTTGGAATCATGAATTATTTCAGACTGAATTGGCTTTGTTTTCCAGTGTTAAAGATTTTACCTAATATCTGTCTATTACTGGTTTCTGCTTTAATTCTATTATGGACAAAGAACACATTTTGTATGATGTAATTCTACTTTAACATTTAACATTATTCTATATATTATTGTAATATGCAATTTCATTCTATACTAGCCATTTTCCATGTGTATTTAGAAAGAATGTGCACTGCAGCTTTACTGGAAGGAATGCTGTATAATTGTCAACTGTATCTTATCAGTTGATCATGTTACATAGTTTTAAAACTTTGCTGATGTTGTTACTACTTATATTGATTACTGAGAAAATAGTGTTCAGGTCTCCAGTGAACTGGTAAGCGTCTATTTTTTCATTTTAGTTTTTTAAGTTTTTGCCTCATGTATTTGAAGCTTTGGATAGAAGAATATACATGCAGGGCTGTAAATCTTGATGAATTAATTCTTTTTATCACCAGGTAATGTCACTCTTTAGCTACTTAGTACTTATCTGTTTTTTTTTGCCTGAGGGGTACTTTGTCTGATACTAACATAACCACTCCAGCATTCTCGTGATGAGCTTTTGCATGGCATATATCTTCTATTCTATTACTTTTAACTGACTTACATCACTAGATTTAAATTGAGTTTCTTGCAGATAGACTTGGATCACTTTGATTCAAGTACATGTTGAAGATGATTGACTTTTGATTTGTATGTTTATTTGATTTACATTTAATGTAATTATTGATGTTTTGGGAATTAGGGCTACCATTTTGTCATTTGTTTTCTGATAGTTCTTTTCATTTTTTGTTTTTTGGTCTCCTTTCTTGCTTTCTTTTGTTATTTCAACATATTTTAACATTTTATTTATTACATATTTCTGTATTTTTTCGAGTAGCTTTTCTTTTATTTTAAAGATAAAAGGAGGGAAACATTAACAGACATACAACATTTTACAACATATCATAAGCACAATACAGACAATACAGAGTTACAAACAAAGTGGTAGGGAATTAACAATGGTGGTTGTATTACATATTGATATCTTCAAAGTGG